AAAACAGAATCCATCCTTCTGATGCATAGAAGAAACACACCTCAACCTCAAAGACAGACATCACCTCAGAGTAAAGGGTTGGGGAAAAAATTCTAATCAAATGGACCTAAGAAACAGGTGTAGCTATCCTAATTTCGAACAACATTGACTTCAAACTAAAGTCAGTCAAAAGAGACAAAGAAAGACATTTCATATTTATCACAGGAAAAATCCATGAAGAGGAAATCTCAATACTGAACATCTATGCCCCAAATACAAGTGCATCTCATATGTAAAAGAAACACTACTAAAGCTTAAATCATACATTAAACCCAACATACTAACAGTGGGAGACTTTAACACCCCACTCTCACTACTGGACATGCCTACCAGAAAGAAACTTAATGAGAAATAATGAAACTAACAAATGTTATAACTCAAATGGATTAACAGACATATATAGAACATTCCATCCAAACATAAAAGAATATATCTTCTCAGCACCTCATGGGACCTTCTTAAAAACTGACCACATACTTGGTAACAAAGCAAACCTCAACAGATACAAGAAAAAATTGGAATAACTCCATGTATCTTATCAGATCACCATGGCTTAAAGTTCAAATTCAGTAGTAACACTAATTTCAGAAAGTCAACAAACACATGGAAACGGAACAATGCTCACTTGACCAATGGGTCAAGAAAAAATAAAGAAATTAAAACCTCCTAAAATTCAATGAAAATGACTGCACAAAATACCTGAACTTATGGGACACAATATAAGCAGTGTTAAGAGGAAAGTTCATAGCACTAAATGCCTACATAAAGCAGATGGAAAATTCCCACAAAGTGCTAGAACACAAAAAATATAAAATAGCAAATTCACCCAGGAGAAATAGACAGGAAATAATCAAATTGAGAACTGAAATCAACAAAATAGAAACCAAGAAAACAATACAAAAAAATCAGTGAGACAAAGAGTTGGTTCTTCAAGAAAATAAACAAAATAGACAAACCTTTATTCAAACTAACCAAAAGTCATAGAAAGAATATCCAAATGAACAAAATCAGAAATGAAAAGGGGGACATCAGACACAGAGAAAATCCAGAGAATTTCAGGTCATACTTCAAAAACTTGTACTCCACAAAATGTAAAACTTAAAGGAGATGAACAATTATCTGGATAAATATCACTTACCAAAATTAAATCAATACCCGATAAGCAAATTAAATAGACTTATAAACACTAAGGAAATAGAAACAACCATCAAAAATCTCTCAACCAAAACAGCCAAGGACCAAATAGTTTCAGTGCAGAATTCTAAAAGATTTTCAAAGAACTAATACCAACACTCCTCAAATTGTTCCACACAACAGAAACGAAACATTGCTAAACTCTTTTAATGAGGCCACAATTACTCTGATACCAAACTACATAAAGACATACTAAGAAAGAGAATTACAGACAAATCTCACTCATGAACATTGATGCAAAAATACTCAATAAAACACTGGCAAACTGAATCCAAGAACACATCAGAAAAATCATTCACCATGATAACCAAGTACGCTTTATCCCAGAGATGCTGGGATGGTTCATATATAAAAATCTGTCAATGTAATCCACCATATAAACAAACTGAAAAGAAAAAAAACCACATGATCATTTCATTAGATACTGAAAAAGCCTTTGTAAAATTTAACACCTGCTCATGATAAAAGTCTTAGAGAGAGCAGGGATTCAAGGAACATACATAAATATAATAAAAGCAATATACAGCAAGGCAACAGCCAACATCAAACTAAATGGCAAGAAACTCAAGGCAATCTATCCAGCTGAAATCAGAAAGAAGACAAGGTTGTTCACTCCCTCCATATCTATTCAATACAGCACTTGAAGTTCTGTAGCACAATAAGACAAAAAAGGAGATCAAGGGGATGGATACAAATTGGAAAACTCATGAACACCTTCAGTAATGCAACAGGATACAAGATTAACAAAAAAAATCAATAGCCCTTCTTTATACAGATGATAAAAAGGCTGAGAAAGAAATCAGAGAAGCATCACCCTTTACAATAGCCACAAATAACATAAAATATCTTGGGGTAACTCTAACTAAACAAGTGGAAGACCTGTATCACAAGAACTTTAAGTTTTTTTAACAAAAGAAATTGGCGAAGACACCAGAAAATGGAAAGATCTCCAATGCTCTTAAGTAGGTAGAATTAACATAGTAAAAATGGCAATTTTACCAAAAGAAATCTTCAGATTCAATGCAATGCCCATCAAAATCCCAGCAAAATTCTTTACAGACCTCGAAAGAACAATATGCAAATTCACAAGGAAAAAGAAAAAAACCAGGATAGCCAAAGCAATATTGTACAATAAAGGAATTTCTAGAGGCATCACTGTCCCTGACTTCAAACTCTACTATAGAGCTACAGTAATGAAAACCACTTAGTATTGGCATAAAACCAGACAGGAGGACCAATGGAATTGAATCGAAGACCTGGGTATCAATCCACACACCTATGAACACCTGTTTTTTTGACAAAGAAGATAAAAATATAAAATGAAAAAAAAGAAAGCAAATTCAACAAACGTTGCTGGCATAACTAGATATCAACATATAGAAGAATGCAAATAGATCCATATCTATCACTGTTGGATGAGAGCCAGTTGTTGGTTCCTGGCTGCTTAGCAGCTCAGCCAGAATAATCACACAGAAACTGTGTTAATTAAATCACCGCTTGCCCCATTAGCTCTAGCTTCTTATCAGCTACATTTAAAAAAGGAAGGTTTTAACTTTTAGTAATATTACATATAACAAAACAGGTATCAAGGAAGACTTACAGTTACAGTATTTATATCTATTTTATCTTTTATCATAACTAAAGAAAACTATAACTATAAATTCTTCAATTCCATCAAAGACCACAGAAGGATATATTACCTAAGGAAACAGGAAGTATATTGTAAGCAACTTTCAAAACTCTAGAATTGACAGAGAAATCTCACTGCCTGGACAGTCACCCAAAGTTCTTCTGTACCATTGGGGCATCCATCTTCAGCCTACATGCCCAAAGTATCCAGTAGACTTTTCCATGAAGCAGGAAATTTCAAAGACAGTTCTGCCTATACTGGAAGTTTGCCAGTCACTTTCTTCTGTATCCTGCATAATGTCTAACAGAGTCTTTCATGAAGCAGGAACCCTGAAAGATCATCTTATCTTTAGGCAAGTTCAGCAGTCACTTTCCGGGGGTCCTGCATGTCCAGTTCACATAGCATACCAGGCAAGGGCTTAAAATTGTATCAATAAACCAAAATTCACACCAATGTAAATCTCTAAAGAATATCCCCCCTTTAAATGTAAACAAACATTTATAAACAATATTTGGGAATATGGACATAATTCTTCTCCAAACTGCTTCCTGCTGTTTATTGGGTGAAGTAAGTTTTTGATGGGTGTTCAAGAAAACCTTTCAGGGGCTCTTGGTCCATCAAACCACATTAGCCTGGAATGAATCCACAGGTTCTCATCCTCTGTGGAAACAAAAGAAGAACCTCTTTTCCAAAACAACATATCCTTAGATCCAAATTATGAAGTCAAGATACCATTATAATATACATGCTGGTTTAGCTTAGCAACCCATTCAATGAAATGTCTTTCTGTACTTAGCTCTTTAACAGTCAAAAAATTCAAAGAAAGCACAATAATATAAATAACCCAGACTATCTGTGTATATTCCATATTTACGTGGCTTATTTGTTTTTACACTATTACTTTTTAATATTTATTTTATTATCTTTGCTCTGTCTCTTTAAAGACAAGGAACATCAGTGGGGAGGGCAGGAGCTTTACTTACCTTTGTAACAACTCAAACATTAAAAGGAAATTAGGGCTCAGTCAGGGCCCTGGGATTCATCACCACCAACACCGAGAAGAAGCAGAAAGCAAACTATACTTAAAAGGAAGTGAGGTTATCAGCAGAAGAGAAAGATGAGCTGAAGCCCAGATTCCAAAGGCCAGGTAGAGTGGCTTTACTCACTAGTTGTCAGTGTGAGGGCCAACCATGATAATCTAAATCTGGGCAGAAAGGAAGTTCTCCTCCAACCATTATCACCTGGAATTCTGGCCATCAATAAATTTAAATGGAGCCTAGAGTCTCAATAGTTGGGTTTTTGATCCTACTGCACGTACTGGCTTTGGGGGAGCCTAGGCAGTTTGGATGCTCACCTTACTAAACCTGGATGGAGGTGGGCGGTCCTTGGACTTCCCACAGGGCAGGGAACCCTGTTTGCTCTTCGAGCTGAGGAGGGAGAGGGACTTGATGGGGGAGGGGGAGAAAAATGGGAGGCGGTGGCGGGGAGGAGGCAGAAATCCTTAATAAATAAATAAATTAAAAAAAAATAGTTTACCCTGAGACAATGCCTGGCAGGCTGAGATTATCTGACTCTCACCCAAGAGCAGACCGTTCAAAGGAAATTCCTGGTATTCCAAGCACTGTAGATAGAAACACCTGCCAGCACTTCACCAGGACACCCCTAGACAAATGTCAGCCAATCAGGGGTCCTGGACCTCAGAGACCCCTCACCCCCACCCTTTACTACTATAAAAACCCAATTCTAATTGAGCTTGGGGCTCTCCAGATACTCCAATACATTGGACTTGTGGAGAGACCAAGTTTGCAAACTTGATTAAAATAAAGGCTCTTTGCTTTTACATATGGGACTCCTTTGTTGGCTTTTGTGGGGACCCACAAATTTGGGCATAACAATCAGACCACAACTCAAGGTCTGAAGTGTCAGGCACTACTGTTCAGATGCTGAATATATATATGTAAGCTGGGGACAAGTAGAGATGATCCTCCTGGTCCCAAGGAAGTCTTCATGGGGTGTGTTTCAATGCCATGTTTACTAAACAAATGCTAATGACAGATTTTCACAACAGCAACAAATGCTATTCTACTACATCAAATCTCCCTTACTGAGGAAAAAATGACAATCACAACATTGATGGATTTGGATCACTTTTTCATGTTTTCTAGGGTGGGGGGTAAAGCCAGTATCCTCACTCGGCTTCCTCTCCTTTCTCTTGTTCCCTTTTATCTGACTTCATTTTCTTTACCTCTTCTCTGGCCACATGTCCCCGGAAGATGGATTGTATTTTGAGAGCAGCAAGCTCCTTTTCTCTTTCTTCCTCAGTGAACTCCTCCTTCATTGAAAGAAGAGAAAGTGAGACCCCTTTCCAGAATGCTGCCTCTTAGATGCCGTAGAAAGGAATGTATAGATTTAACTAATTTACAGATGCAACTATCTGAAGTCTGTTGCTTCCTGGGGGATTTTATACATTGTCACACACTGTGTATGTACCAAAGGCTACATGCCAAACGAGCATACATTCAGCTTGCTACTCTTCAATATGTCTTAATACAAGATCGTTGCCAACTTCTTTTCCCTTGTTTCTAGACAGCACCTATTTAATGTTTCCTGAGAAATAACCTTTTGTTCAGGGTGGGGAAGCAAGAATTATTGAAGTAAGTACTGTTCTGTGTTAACACCAGCATATGTGCTATTTTGAAGGAATTGTGATTATACAAGACTGATAAATGTTAATTCTAATTTCTAAATGTTTAGACAATTAAAACCACACATTTAGAGGTGGAGCACCAAAGAGAAAGCCAATTTACTATTAGTAAATTGGACTTATCAGGGTTGGTTAAACAGCGACATACAGTTTCTTCTTTTTCTTTTAAATTTAGGTATAATTTACAGATGGCAAAATTCATGGATCCTAAATGTAGAACTGAAAAAAATATGGCCCTCAATATATCTTTTTTAAGCTACGGAAACGATAAGTACACATTTTAAAAATCCTCAAGTTATCACTTGTAGTACAAGTTGAAACATTTTCACCTCCTCAAATCTTGCTCCTAAAAAGTACCCTTTATTGTAGGTTGCGTGTCTCTGTGTGTATTTGTGTATGTTTATACATCCTTATAAAATTTCTCTATCTGTGAGTCCATTTACATGAAGACACATTTGTTTTTCAGTTTAAAACAAGACCATGCTAATTGGAGTGCTCTATAGCTACTTTCCCCATGAAACAAGATATCTGGGCTCTTTCTTCTATGCTATTATTTCATATATAATTTTGCTCAGTTTTAAGGGGAGGGACATGGACATTGTGTTCCATTGTACTGAAATTTATTATTCAGTCAACTATTGATGGACCTTTGAGCTATTCAAATCTATTCACGCTATTTCATATTTCAAACTGAGTTAAGTTTAGCTCTTAAACTTTTAAATACAAATAGACAGGCATAAAATTCTTTGAGGTGATTCTCCAATATGGGCAAGTGAATTACTCTTAAGTTAAAAATCAATGGGACCATAACACAAACTTGTAGTAGCTTATAAAAGACAATCTACAAGAGAAGTAAGGAAATGGCTCTGCTTTTCTATATTCCCTGAATCCCTATTATGTCGGATGCCACTGTTAGATCATTTAGATTGTAGTAGTATTATTCTAGATTAGTTAAATAATGTAAGGAAAGGTTGGTGTAAAGTCAAGGACCCTGAGGTGCATATTCATTTTAGGTATCAATATTGCTAACTGAGATTCTAGGACATGAAACGGAACTCAAAGGTTTGAACTCTGACATTGTACAGAATGAATTCTTTTATGCAAAACCTTGCTTTTCTTTTTCCTTTTTTTAAAGGATGGGGTTACATTATGCAGCCTTATCCATCCTAGAACTAACTCTGTAAACCAGGCTGGCCTTGAACTCACAGAGATTAAAGGCATGCACCGCAGCCACCACCACCAGGCAAAGCCTGTTTTTTAATTAGTTTGGACTATGAAGAATACAGGTAATAATGTTCTGGTAAATGTTTAACTGGCTCTACAGGGAAATAATAGAACAAACAACATTGCCTTCCTAAAAGACCACCAAAACTCTGGTTTGTAGTGTTTACCTTGGTCTCAATACTTTTAGTATTTTAAGTTATCAAAATGATGTTTATTGCATTGTAGACAATTATCTCCAAGTAATGGCTTTAGCACACCACTGAATAGAAATAGGTAGTCTCTTTGAGGGTGGATTTTCCTATGTGTAGGAGGTTTGGACGTAGAATATCAAGGCAGGAAATTATTTCTATAGAAGATCTTGCAGGAAGTATGAGTAAGCCATACCGTGTAAGGCCATTTTATTTGGTAGTATGTAATTGTTTCCCTTTAGTTATCTCTAACCTTTGCCTTTGTGTGGTAGCAATGGCAACAAGTAGTGGAAAAATTCCCAAAGTAGAATATTAATATGAAAGATGAGAGGCAGTTCCAAGTTCATCTGTCTACCTCTTCCATGGAAAGATTTTCTGATCTAGATTTTTTAAAGGGAAGAATGCATTTATGAAAATAATCTGCTAGTTTATCACCAATGTTAATCATCTAGAAAGCATGATTTTAATTTCAAAAAGTGTGTTGATATATATTTTGTGCACAACTTTAAACTCATCGATGCCATTTTGGATAGCAATACATAAGTAAATGAAAAATACTACATACAAAGGCCGTAACTGGTGTTTCTTCATTAGCAGATGATTTGGCCATTTCTTCTTCACATTTCTCAGTTTGTTCTTGGTCCTAGAAAGAGATGAGAGGGCCACATAGGAACTGTTTTGAAGATAGAAAACTCTGGACCATACTGCATAAGAGAAACTTCAAGTTAAAGTACTGAGAAGCATTGGGGAATTAAAGATATATATATATATATTATATTTATCTTTAATATATATAGTATATGTATATTTAAATAATAATTTGTCTTGGAAGAAAGAAGTGAACAAAAACTCAAGGTATAAACCACCATCTCACACTAAAAATTGATTCAGTTTGGTAATAAATCTTAAGGATAGTTAAAAAAAGTTTATAGTTTCTACAATAGTAATAAAATAAAAGTCATTGTATTCCATACTATGAAGCCAGGTTGACTTTTTAATGACAATTATAAGTTAAAAACTCAGTCAGTATTACAGAAGAGAAGGGGATTTGGGAAGAGCAAGTAATAGAGGATGAATATGATCACCTTATGTGCATACATAAAGATGTTAGCCATTATTTTATGCAATCAACATACAATAATATATTAAATCAAGGAAGTGAGTTTCACTTTGGAAAAAGATATAAGCATAAAGGAGGAGCCAGCTCAGTCTGTTCTGACATGACTAATCCAGTCTTCTGCTAAACAGAAGCACTGCTAACTCACTGCCTTCAGGAAGAGAGTCTAACATAGAACATGGAAAATTGAGGATAAATAAATAAATAACATAAAACCATAAAAACCCAAAATAAAAGAAACTCCTTGAATTTTCTATGTGACACAAGGACTTAACATTTTCAATATTATCTCTTTGATTTAAGTAAAAAATATAAACGAACAAACCAAAAACTCATGCGTATAGATAATCAGGGTTAAACTACAAATAAAAGCAACAGACTCACACAAGCAGGTATAAATAAATGGATAGAAATTCACTTCTGAATGAAAAGTAACAGCTTCTACAAAAATATTTTGCAAATCTATTGGAGTACATTAAAGCCTGAACTTTGTCAATCTCTAAAATCTCTGTCAGAGTAACAACAGAGAAAATGGTGTTTCTTCAGCTCTCTAGAGTAGTATTCTAAAAAAATTTAATTTATTGTCATTTGTTGTTGTTGTTGTTGCTGTTTCGAGATAGGGTTTCTCTGTGTAGCCCTGGCTGTCCTAGAACTTGCTCTGCAGACCAGGTTGGCCTCGAACTCAGAGATCTACCTGCCTCTGCCTCTGAGTTCCAAGATCAAAGGCATGCATGATCATATTTAATTCAAATTAGTCTTTTTGTAACATGCAAATGGAAAAGTTGGACTAATAATGTTTTATTTTATGAAATATAATTTATGACTTATGATGCTCAATAAAGTTTAAACAATAAGAGATGAGAGTAATTCTGTGATATCATGTTCTTTCTCCTATTGGTCATCTTTAAATTTATGCTAAGTATCAGTAGTCAATTCAGATATTTTAGAAGATTATCTCTCATTATAAAAAAGTTTTAGTAAGCTATTAATAAAGCTTGACACACTTCTCGAAAGTTGGGGGAGACAATAGCCAAATCTGGTAGCTTCATAGGACTATACCTTGAATGCATGGTTGTTATAGAAGCGGTCCTCTAGCTTAGCCCCCCATTCTGCTGGATCAAAGTTGGTTTCTAAATAACAAAAATATTTTTATATTTATTTTGTGTTCATTACAGTGACTCTAGAACAATACAGGAATACAGGTTTCTTGTTTCAAATCATAGGTTCTTTACTGATAGCTGAAAATCTTACTGGCATTGAACAGCCCAGGGCTACAGGCATAAACAATTATTAAATATATGATGACTAGTTTAACACTGAGTGATCCTTTAGGGACATTTACTCACAAGAAAATGGTAAAGAAAGAACAAATGCCAATATTCAAGTGAACAGACACCAAAAGCATGCATTAACAACGCATAAAAGCATACAAAATATGGTTAAAGGATCAGGGAGTCTGGAAAAGTGAAAGATAAGGGAGGGTTTTCAAATGAAACACTATGTAGACAATTAACATAGACAAGAAGTATTTCTAGCCAAATATAATTTTCTTTAATTTTCTGTCATGAAGATTTCAAACTCCCAAAGTAGGATGTTCTGACAACCTCATGGGCACACTCCCTAGAGGCTACAATGGCCAATTCATGGCTTATCATTTTATCTCTACATATTCTTCTGGTTATTTTCCGGCCAACCCTAAACACCATATTAATTCATCTGTAAACATTTAAATTTGTAACTTTAAAATAGTCTTTAAAATATAAGCATGTACCATTACCATATCTGAAATATTAGCAGTTCCTTACAATCATCCTGCATCTAGCCTACTATCCAAAACTGTCTGTAATATCTAATATACTTAGGTATCTTGGTCATCAGAGCCCCAAAATGGACACACACTACCTTTTGTTATGCCTTTTAAAGAATTTTTAGTGGAAAATCCACCACCACCTTGTTTTTCTGTGTAATTTATTTGTTGATGCAGTTGGGCCAGTTTTCCTTTGGAATGTTCCAGTGCAGTTATTTCTGACGACTCCACTGGGAATTTTAACAGGGTCATTTGCCCTTAAATTCTCCGTAGTTAGAGTTGCAGGCTTCATCTGATTCAGATTTGATTGTTTTGGCAAGAATATTGATTGGTAGTGCTACTTAATCTCAGAAGATAAGTCATAACTTGCTCTCTCTAACCTTTAAATAATTTTTATGGGATCATGATGAGTGTTCCCTAACTTGTTTAGGGGTACAAAATGATAATGTTATAAATTAATCAGTACTTATTTTTGAGTGGATTCAATAAAGAAAACAGGCAACCATTTGGTTACCCTGAAATATGGCTCTTACAAAAAAGGTTACAGGTTTGATTCTCTCACCAGCTCTCTGAATAACCAGCTGGCTCCCAGAACTTTCCTGGGCAGTCTGACAATGATGAATTCTGTGACTGATTTTAGTATTATGATCTCACAAATATTTAGTAACCTGGGTGAATTCTGGTCCACGGAGTTTTATTATTTTTTCTTAATTCTTTCTTTGTCCAAAATCTGGTTAGTGGTAGCTTATCCAGGTGCTTGGATGCTCCTCAGGTCTTTGCTAGCATCCCTAGAAATCGTTAGGAGCTTATTTCCTGGGATGGAAAGATGGCCAGCCTAGTCTTACATATTTATCCCATGTGTATAGAACTGCAAGTCTGACTCATGGGAATTGGTATTCAGGGATGATAATATAGGGGACAGATGTCCACTAACATTTGGTTAGTCATGATTTTGAGTTTTCAAAATCTACCAAAAATGACTTTCATTAAAAAACGCATTTTAAAATAGTGCATACATGCATGAGTATGTGAGTGCATGCTCTATATATGTATGGGCACGGACATGCTATGGCACATGATTGGAAGTCAGATGGCAAATTTCAGGAGTCTGCCTGGTCTTTCCACAATGTGGGTCGTGGAAGTTGAACTCTAGTTTTCTGGCTTTTCACCAGGTGCCTTCACTCTCTGAGCTGCTTCCATTTTAAAAGAGAAAAGATCACATTGCTATTTCTAAATTCAAGATTACATGGTTTTATTAAACTATCTATAAAATTATATCTTCTTACACTCCAAATTTTATTTCCAATAAGACTAGCATACTTGCTTGATTTATTCTTTAATATACAGGTCAAAGTTTCTGGAATAACTCTACATATTAGTCAGCTTTTATCACTGTCACAAATACCTGATATAAAAAAGGTAAGGTCTACGTTGGTTTACAATTTGAGATATTAGTTAAAGACTGTTTTGCTAGCACAAAAATTTTAAAAAGCAAAACAAAACACCTAATATGTATATTTGGGTTGTTTTCATAATGCTGTAATGAAAAGTGCAGAGGTTCAACTTCTGGGCTGCAGGTTAAACAAATATGGAATTTTGGCATATGTTGCAAAATTCCTTTCCTTTAGACTTTATATTACATATTTAGTAGGAATGGGTATAAGGGCTTATTTCTCTGAGCTGTATCTACAAACCATACTGTCAAAGTGTCGACTTTCTGACAGTACGATGCAGGAGTAGGTGATGGCAGTTCAGTGTAATTTCTTCTATTTTTCTTTGTGTGTGTGTGTGTGTGTGTGTGTGTGTGTGCGCGCGCGCCTATGGAAACAAAGAAGAAGTCAGATTCCCTGGAACTGTAGTTACAGGCAGTTGTGAGCCTCCAGAAGTGGGTACTGTTATCTGAACTTGGGTCCTCTGCAAAAGCATTAAGTGCTCTTTACCCCTATACCATCTCTCCATCCCTAGCTGAGTGACATTTTGATTTGAATTGCTATTATGGGCCAGTCTGACTACACTTTCATGTTAAGGGCTATCTGTGTTTACCTCTGTGTGAACTGTTTGTTGGTATCTCCTGGTATACATATGTTACAACACAATATTTTTACAAGCTGTTTATTAGGTTTATTAACTTACTGGTATGCAAATTGCAAGCATTTTTTCTTAGTTTGCTATTTGCGTTTTTGTTTTCTTCATGGTGCTTTGCCACATACAAGTTTGCTTTTTATATTGTCAATTCTATCAATCTGTTTCCCCGTTGTATTTGGATTTGAAGCAACGAAGGCAACTTAGCAAGCAAGATGTTTTCTCCTAGCATCTATATGGTTTCTATTTCATGTTTAAATTTGGAGTCAGGTTATAATTTATTTGGATGTATGCCATAAAGAATTGATGCTATTTTGTTTATCCATTTTTATCTCACATCATTTAAGAAGTTCATTTTCCCTACTGATTGGAGAGACCACTTACATTGTATATTAACAGGTTTCCCACACAAAAAATGGAGCCTAGTAACCATCTATGAAAAATGGTGGCAAGGGATTCTTGCAATGTGGGAGACTGGATGAGAAACCTACAATCGTTTATTTTGCCTTTGCTTGGGAAGGCTAAATTCTTACACTGTGTCAGTTGGAAATTCATGTGTAGTTGATATAGGAGGAAGTGGGTGTGGTGGTTAAATTTTTTCAAAGGTTTTAGTCATTTGTTTATCAGAGAGCTTGCATTCTGAGGCCATTCGTCATCAATTGTTTTTATTACTATGACCTGGTAACAATGACTCAAATATGATTTTAGTGGTATGTTCCTGAGTTCTAAAGTTAAACAAATGACCATAGATTTTTACTGCATGAATTTGCAAAATTACTGTTATAATAACAAAATTCTTGTTCATAAAACTACTACTTTTAATCAAACATGTTTAATAGCCTTTCCCCACTAACGTTGCAGGCTGTGCACCCTGACTAGATATGGGACAGATCGGCAGTAATCAGGAAATTGGTGAAATTTTGAGTTCTTCAAAGGCAGGATCATAATGGGCAGGGGAGGAGCTGTTTGTGTGTATGGGAGTTGTTTTGATTCTTGCCTTGCTCTGGGTTTCTTCTCTTTGTAAAATGATTTACAAAAGAACGTCTGTTTGGTTGGGGCTATTTCTAGTCTCCTTTGCCCAAAGTAATGATAACAAAGCTTATATAACAGGATTGTTTGAGGCAAAGAACAGGTTTTCAGTACAAAGTTACGATTGTAACAGTCCTCTTTGACCACTGGGCCAGACCTTCATAGTCATGAATCTTCAAGGTTGGGATCTGAAGATTGTCTTTATGAAAGGGAATGTAGGAACTTCACTTTGGCTTGAAATCAAAAAGTCACTATTAGCATGGACCCTAGTCTCTATGTAGGAAGGGACCTGGAGAGCATAGAGAATGTAAATTCCCTTCCCCAACTGGCAATCCACTTGCCAAAGCAGTTTGTTTCTGTGTCTTCGTTGAAGAACAGTTTCATATACCCCAGAAAAAACTAATTTACTTAATCTAAAGAGTGTTGAAATATTTTTATAACACTTATAATACTTTCAAATGAGAGGAATCAAAATTTAAAGAAAGCCACAAATTATCCTCCCAGGAAGAACAGACAGTCAGCTAACAGAGATGCATAGGAGCAGGCCCGCCTCCTTCAACACCCTGGGTGTGAGAAAGGCAGCGAGCGTGGCCTGGGGAGTGAACCGGTACAGACTGTTTCCAACAGCAAGAACCTGTCTCATAAAGGCTTTCTGCACAATCAACACGATCTTAAGTTTTTGTTGTTGTTATTCTTCTCTTTTTTGTGTATGTGTATGTTTTTGTGTTCCCATGTGTGTGGGTACATGTGTGTGTGTGTGTGTTGAGGGTGTGTGAACGTGTGTTTGCATATGTATGGAGATCACAGGCTGAAGACAGGTATATTCTTCAATTGTAAGTTTTACCATAACAGAATGCTTAGTTAATTTAAAAATTCCTATTTTTTTTTTAAAAGAGCTTACTCTCTCTTTTTTCTAGAAGGTTTTCAAAATACGCTGCGGCAAAAGCTGGTATATTCTCCGGTTGCTCCCTCAGAATCTCCCGTGTCAGCCCTTCAAGAAGATTTCCAAATCCTTGTGGAATTCGGTAGTGGGTGTTGGAGAAAGGAATCGACATCTCCTTGGAAAGAATTGCCTATGGTACCTGAAGATTTAGTTAAAAGTATCTAATTTTAATGTGTCTAATTTAAAGTACATAATCACAGCTACAACAAACCAACTCACAACACAACTCAAATTATTTCACAGACACACACATTTTGGACTTTAAAAAGAAAAGTTCATACAATCCAGGCCTGGTGGTGAACTACCTCAGTAGGTAAAGATAGCCTGGAAAGAAATCCCTGCAATCCACATTGTGGAAGGCGAGAATTGACTCCCACAAACTGTTCCAGAGGCAGGCTGTGTCCCCCCATACAGACATTCGCACTCAATAAATGCAAACACAATTCAACCCTCTAAGTCTACCCATTTCTTTTGGAGTTTTTAACTCTATCACGAATCACTGGATTTTTGTTTTGTTTTTCCTTTTGAGATAAGGTGTCTCTACATAGCCCTGGCTGTCCTGTCTCCCAAGTGGTGGGATTAAAGGCGTGTCACACCACAGCCCGAGAATTATAGTATTATAAATGCAGATCCACTACTTTGGACAAATCACTCTTTTTAGAGAGCCACAGTTTTCCCTAGATATTAAGTACTTTGTCTTCCTGTCCTTACAAGGTGAGGTTGCTTTTGCTAGCCGGCAATATTTAAGAGACAGTGGTTGCTGGGAAGCTCATATAGTCCTGTTTACATTGCTAAGAAGAAACCGTTTAAAGTTTAAAATTAAAAAACAAACAACTGGTCAGCTGGGGGCGGGGGAGCACTCCTCTGATCCCAGTAATTGGGAGACAGGTGGGCAAATCTCCGAGTCTGAGGCCAGTCTAATCTACAAAGCAAGTCCAGGACAGTCAGGGTTACACAAAGAAACCCTGTCTCGGGAGGGAGGGACCCCAAAAGCAACCCCCCCAAAAAAACTAGCCTTGGTTGCAGAAATTATTATAATTTGTTGAATAAAATTTCACTTTCTTTTTCAGCCCCCACTTCTGAAGCATAGCCTATAAAGTCTTCAAGCACCTCTGTATTCTAGGTATTCTAGGGTAGGGCTGAGAAAGAGAGGTCGTGGTTTTGGAAGCCAGCCTTTGAAGTTTGGTGAAGTCTTATTTCCTGTGTTTGCCTGGCCTTGTATTTTGTAATTCAAGGGCTGGTGGCTGAAAGGTGACTGACAAAGAGAGGGCTGGGTCACTGAGTAAAGACAGCTTGGGGATTGGGTTCTTTACCCTGAGAGGCACAAAGGGGCGCTGGGAGGGGTCTAGGCGGGAGGACTTGAGGTTTAACGATGCCTAACCTTAGAGAGTCTTCCTTCTCTCTTGTGGGCGGGAACAGGAGATTAAATACTGAATTTTTGAGGACTGTGAAAAGCCCTAAACCGGGCGGGGAAGCGAGGGTGGTAGAGGGGGAAGACGGGTCAAACCATGGGCGGGACGTCGACGACCTAACGTTCCAGATTCTCCAAGAAAGGGCTTTCCGGGCTCCCTATCCGCTCTAGGGGTTGCGGGAGTGTAGGGAATGCCGAGAGACTAGGCCACACGACGAAAAAGGCGAAGCCTCCACGTTGGAGAGGGAATGGGGGGGAAACTGCCTCACCTCTTCTTTCTCTTCAAGCTGGTGCGGATGGTTCCAGTTGTTTTATCTCGTTGCTGGGTAACCGTTTTTTTTTATTTTTTTTTGTTTTTTTTTTTTTAAACTACGGCGGCCGGGAAGGAGAGGGCCCGCTCCTTGCCGAGGATGGTTTCGCGTACTGAAGACTCGAGGGTGGGGCCCCGCCCACCACACAGAGATCACGCCCCCGTCCCCGCCCCTGCCTAGGGCCTCTTCCTGAGTCCAGCGCTTTGACACGAATTTCCGCAAGCATGGTTGCCCTGGGGTCTGTGTATGGTCTGCTGCTGCTCATAATCGTTCGAGCCAGCAGAAGTGCAGGTGAGGTGACATGACTCTGCGGGACCCTTCCCTTTCAGATCCTCTGCAGGATCTTGGCCCTCCTTCCCTCTCAAAGTCTGGTTTGAGTCAGAACTGGTCTTTTCCTACCTAGGCCCTGGGTGAAGGTGAAGGTCCTGCTGGGCGGTCAGCTGCCTTTATCCCCACCCACCCACGGTCCTTCACTTAAAGCATTGGGGGCAAAGGGACACTTCGGTTTATCAAGTTGGGGAGGCTCCTATGTGCCCAGACCGAAGCCTTTAGGAGAGCTCTGAGAGAAGGGGGCGAAGCTAGTTAGATAATATTTGGAAACAGGTGACTGAGTCATCCAAAATACTTCAGCTCCTGCCCCCACAGTGGTACCCTTGGGGAGGGCTTCTATCGGAATGGGTGCCTTGAGGGAATTAAATTTTACTAGTTTAAGTGGTTATTAGGTCTAAGAAATGCAACCCCCTCACTAGTGCAGAATAATTTAAGGTTCAGCTCTGAATTTTGGTGCAGCTTAGAGAGATTGGTGGAGGGAGAAGGCTCATTGCCCTGGGGACAGGGGGAGGCTAACTCACACTGGTCATTCTGTAGGGCAGAGTTTGTCATCTGACTAATCCAGACTGGACATTGCCTCTCAGCAAGGAGGTGCCTGATGATAGGAATCTGTCTCAAAGTAAATCTTTGAGAATCTTCACTCAAAGTGATAGTTAAAGCTGGATCCACCCACCCTTTTTCTTATTTGGATCACTGAAAGAGTGAACCCCAAACACTGTCAATAAATGAAATTTGGGGGGGTTGGGATTATAGCTCAGCAGTAGAGCTCTTGGCTAGAATGCTAGGAATTTGGATTTTGTTTACCACAGTAAAAAGAAATGAAGGTTGAAGTGAGAAGAAAAGGCTTGTTGGTGTTCCATCTAAGCACAAGACATCAATGGCCTTTCAGAGTTTCAAAGCTGTAGTTAGCGGTCTCTCCCATTTCTTGTCTCTCTCATGATCCTGGAAACCTATCAGAGGAGGTGGGGAGAAGGTAAAGACAGTGGAGTTTTCCTCTTAGTTATTTTTCTTAAGGTCTGTCACATTTAATATCACTATTTTATTTCCTTTGGGTCATATTACATGACCTTGGTTGCTCTTGCCATTCATTGGTGCTCTAGAGTTCTCTCCCTTCTTCCTGGCATATCCTAAGGTCTTTCTTTTAACTCTCTCCTTTTGCTCATGTTTATAATGTAACAAAAAGTTACACTTCACAATGAGGGTCCCTATGAACTCACCACCCAGTGTGAGAGCGACTGCCAGAGTACTCCTCATTAGTACCTCAGCTGGGTTCTCATCAGAGGTAACCACTGTCCGAAAACTTTTGCTGGTCTACTTGTAATGATTGCTTCTTCCCCACAGCTCCCGTTCTCATTTTCCACTTCAGTTCTCAAATGAAGAGAGAAATCCAGCACCTTTAAAAAAATTCATTTTGACTATGCCTGGTTGTTTGAGATGCGTGACTCTTTTCCGTCCGTTTCTGGTCCTCAGTGTCTTTCACATCTGTCCAGCTTAGAATGTGAACTTTGTGAGGGTAGAATATATAATTTTTCTTTACACTATCATCACGATCTAACTGAAGCAAAAAGGAAATTATTCCTTCAGAATTAGATGACATGGATTCTAATTCTATCATAAACTACCTTCTGAGGCCAGTCAAGGAAATGACTGTCTCCAGTATCTTCAGCACTCCGTTACATGTGTAACTTCCTAGTAGGTTGCAAAATCCCCAGCAGCCAGACTTTTTAATCTATTATTGGTAGTATTTTCCCTCCACCGTTACAGCCTCAGTGTGTAAAATAGTGCCTGGCACACAGTAGGTATCAAGAGATATTTGTTGACTTCACAGCTATTCTTAAAAATTGCTTAATCTATTTGTGTCCTAGTTCCTTGGTGGGTAATGTGTTTAAATCTCTTGATCAGTCAGTAACACAATTATACTATTATTATAAAGTATTTTCCACCTCTAAAATTCTTTTGCTCATCCTAAAGCCATTCGCAGAGACATTCTATAAATGCGTGTTGGCAAACACAGACTGGCTTGAAAAGGCATTTCCCAGCCTGTGGACAGACTACTGGCTGCATACTCCAGTTCGTAAACAACGTTTTCTTCACTCAGTTCCTCTAACTCCAGCCCTCTCTCTACTTAGTTCTTATTTATGCCTTTGCTTTTCAGCTTTTGTTCTGTATCCACCCGAGACAGGGCCCTCCCACACATATGCCTCCCGGTTTCCCCAGCAGGCCGCCAGCCTGCTTATGCAATTCTGGGATGTTGTGGTTCTAGAGTGTTTTGCTCATGGTACACGCATCGTGAGCTTGTTAAGCCTTCTGGATGATCTTTGATTGTCGTGGAGGCTTCATGATCAAATGAACTCCTGAGTGAGAAAGAGAGCTGAGGATTTTTAGGGACTTGTCTGGTATTCTAAGAGCAGTATAAATAGGCCACCAAGCTTGTGAGGAGACCCCGTTAGCTCTACTGACCTGTTAAGTATAGCCTAAGGGGCCTGCCATCTTTTGTAGCTTCCAGGGAGGAAAATGTCAGCTTTGTTTGTTAATTCTAATTCTCTTTCCTGCCTATCATGCTTATTAAAAAAAATAAACCTTAATTTTGTTAATTATTTTCTTTGGAGGATTTAAAAAAATCTTTTCTGTTGAGACAAATTGGGATGTAAGTTTTATGATTTTCCTAGTTAAATTTCTGTGAGCTCACTGGGATCATGTGGATCAACGCTTGTTATTTAAAAAGTACTTCGATATAGGCTATGAGTAAAAATAGAAATGATCTCGTTAAAGTGAATTCTTATTCAGTCTTCTTAGTGACTCTTAGCACAGCATCCAATATGCAAGCATGCCTCCTCTTTCTTTTGCCTGTGAAATGGTGACGAGACATTTTCTCTGAGATTTTAACCTTCTGTCTCTCCATGATCTTAATTTTGTGTCCCTAATTTATCTGAATTTCTCAGGGAGATTTGTCACCGTCATAAGCGTGCTATCCCGGGTCATCAAAAAACAATCAAAAATCCCCCAAACCCAGACAATAACGATGGCAACAATGCGTGCTGAGAGGAATGATGTGAAGGGATTTGGCAGTGGCAGGATGGAAGATGGGCACGGCATTAGAGAGGCTATGCTGGAGACAGGCATCACTCTTCCTTCCTAGCTCCTAGGAGTGGGCACAGTGACGGAGAGTTGGGGAAGGAAGTGGTTTGGTTTTCTTATAAACACCATCTGTGAGGTATGTGCACGGTTCGGTTCACTTTTAGTGATTAGGAAGAAAAGTTAAGTGTTAGAGCCAAGTTTTAGAGCAAGGGCGTGTTGACCAAGAGCTATGAAGGGGAGGGAAGGAGAGTGTGTACATTGGTTGTTGTCCTGGACCCTAAGTTTTCCTTAATGATCATGTTATCCTGTGATGCACATTGTTGGAAACTGTCCTTATTATGTTGTTATTTAGTTAAGAGCAGCACAGTCTAGTTTTGGAAGATTACAAGGCTCGCGTAGACTCATATTCTTTTGTATAAGGACTGTATGTTACTTCCACTTGATGCTCAGTCTCTCTGATGATAGTCTCCTACATGTTTGCCAACATTTTTAGGTGTTGGTTTTCGCTTTGCCTCATACATCGATAATTACATGGTGCTGCAGAAGGAGCCTTCAGGGGCAGTGATCTGGGGCTTTGGTACACCTGGAGCTACAGTGACAGTGACCTTGTGCCAAGGTCAGGAAACCCTCACTAAGAAAGTGACCAGCGTGAAAGGTAAGGCAGCCCATTTTCTCTTCAGTTGTTGTCTTCTTCTGCCACCTGCTGGATTATCTGAAAATGAATGCTTATAGTTCCAGCTCAGGCTGTCAATCCATCCATCCATCCATCCATCCATCCATCCATCCATCCATCCATGCATCCAACCATAAAAGCTATTTTATTTGACTATTTACTATGTGAATAGGCACCGAAGATACCACAAATGGTAACAAGGCTCAAAGGGTTTGCTAAGGACTTTATTGAGCAGAACAGATTATGCAGAAGTTTGATGAACACTGATAAATTATCTGTGGAGTTCTATGAGATACAGAAGAGAGGCATATACCTCAGCGTGATTTCTATGGAAAAGATGCCAATGAAGATGATATTTGAGCTGAATCATACATGCCAGAGAGGCAGTCCTAGATTCGAGAGAGATGGCTCAGTGGGTGAGAGCTTTTGATGCTCCTGCAGAGGACCTGGGTTCAGTTCCCAGCCCTCACACTGGGTGACTCATAAGGCCCTGTAAACTCCAGCTCCAGGGGATCTGATGCCCTCTTCTGTTTACTCTGGGCACCTACATATACATGGTACACATGGACACACACACACATGGACACACACACACACACAATTTCTTAAAAAGTTTTAAAAAAAAAGAGTCAATTTGGAGATCTGCTAAATAACTTTGGCTCTAGAGTTCATGGGCTAGGTTCTGATTCTGACTCTGTCATTTCTGGGTATATAATTTAGACATATCAAATATTTAAGTGACAGTGTGTTTTCCATGTATAAAGTAGAAGTGGTACTAATTATTAATGGATGATAATGAGGAGTAAATACATAAATTAGTTAAAACAGTGTTTGGCACATTAACTTGGGTGGATATTATTGTTACTATTACTGTTGCTATTATTTACTCAGTTATTCCAATATTTATTATCTACTATGTGCGAGGTACTGGTGTTAAGGTGATACATAAAACTGATTTAGCCTCTCCG